GGGGCTAAGTGCACATTGACATGTGGCAGGAAGAAGCTGGAATTGAACCTACAACCTTCTGATTGCAAGGCAACTACTCTACCCACAGAGCCACGGTCGCCCTAACAGCACAGCTAACGTTTTAGGTAGCGGCACCCACATCTGTCTTTTGGAAATTCCTCTGTGGAGCTTCAACTCTAACAGTAAAATGTCAATAGAAAATAATGGAATAATAATGAAATTTAAATAAGATGTATGACAGGTGTCTGTACGAGCTTTTAACCCGACCTCTCCCAGAATCCATTTGAAGCTGTCAGCAGATTATGTTCTGTTAATCAGGGTGTTAAATAAACTATCCAGTCTAATGCGGATAAAGTCTGGCACTGGTTGAGGTTTATTTACCCCTCAACCAGTTTGTGTTGCATCCAACCAGTTTGCTTATTTTAATCTAAAACTTTAATCTTTGCTTTTGAATTTGGGAATCTAAAAGCTTTTTTGGCTCGTCAGTGAAAAGCATTAATAGAAGCCTGGATGGGAGTTTTCATGTGTTTTTGCAGAGCGAGTCATGAAAAGAGCTCAAGCTAATTTTGAAGCACCCAAAAAAAAAAAAAAACAAGTCAAAAAATAACCCTGTTTCGTTCCTGCTCCCTTCATATTCCCCAAGTGAAATGACCACTGGCAGAGACCGCAGAGTGCGTGTTTTGTGAAAGAGTAATAGTGTTGCAGCATAAAGAGCGTTGCCCCTCCTCAGCCTCTCCTTCTGGTTAATTTCCTCAGAGCCTGCAGGGCTAGCCAGTAGGGGGATTTGACAGAGGACTTCTGACAATCCAGAGGAGAGCTGACACCAAGAGTGCAAGTCTGCCCATCACTCGCGGCCAGATTGGAAGATGCTCAGCATGCAGAGAGCAGATGAGACGAGCAGAGGAGCCAGGAGGGCTGTCCTTGCAGAGCGAGCTAAACTTGAAAAGTCTGGGAAGGGCACAGTGCCACTCAGAGGCCAAAACTCACACTCCAGCCGCAGATCCCTGCCACAGAAATCTGACTCATGTTCTATCCATTTTTTGGTTGTTTAGAAATCCGAAACTTTCTGTAAGAGCCGAGTAGCTGGATGTGCAGAGACTTTTTGAAAAAAAAATGCAGTTCTATCAAACATGAGGTATAATATAGGTAGACTGAGTGTCTCTTAGCTTTTATGGAGTTCCATTTGTAACATAGCGCCAATTTGCCAAGCCTTAAACTCTCATGACACGTTTCAGAAGAATTCAGGCTTTACTTTAACAGACAAGAAGAAAAAAAAGAGGGACTAAATTATTACCCAGCTATTTTCTACACCTAAATGTAGAAGATGGACATTCCTGCCACCAATTTAACCCCATCAATGCTAAAGGTTATTCTGCGAAATTCACATTTTTTTTACTTCCATTTGGGTTTCTACTGCTTCTAGAAACAGCATTTACAAAAACCATTATTGTAATAAGTGAATGTTGTTTTAGTGTGAGGCGTTTCAAAAACCTTCAGAACGTCACAAATCAGCAGGCGCTACTCCGTTACCTAGCAACCCCAACAGAGTTCCACCCATCACCTAGCAACCACAGCTGAGTTCCAACTAGTTTTACTGCTGTATAATGGCTGCTGGAAATGACAAGTGTTTTGTTGCCAACTTATAATCCAGAAAACACTTGCTGCATTCTTGTTAGTTGTGCAGGGGGCTCTACATCTGCTTTTCATTTCCTCTTTTTTTTTAAACTAATTATAAACCATTACAGCAATATGTTCATATTTTTTTGGTGTCTGGAAAATGAGCCGTTTCAAAACTCTCCAGAATGTAAAGTCACAAATCAGCAGGAACTGCCCGGTTACCTAGCAACCTCAGCAAAGCCCAGCCTGTCACCTAGCAACCAGGGCTGAGTTCCAGCACATTTGGTCAACTGGTTTTTACCGCTGTATAATGGCTGCTGAAAATTTGTTGTTGACTTATAATTCAGAAAACACTTGCTGCATTTTTGTTGGTTGTGAAGGAGACTATATGTTTGCTTTTCTTTCGTTTTTTTTTTACTTATTTTAAGTTTTATATATTTTGTAACTTATTTAAAAAGTGGCAGCACCCCACCTCTTTATCCAGGGCATTATGGGTAAATACAACCAAAACAACATACTATATATATTAGTTATTTTAAGTTTTTATAGATCTACTCTGCTTTTCAGAGATCTACAGTTGTGTACTTGCACATCTGTTTGCAGCCATTTTCACGTGTGAGTCTAAACATTGAGTTGAGGGGGAGTGGCCAGCAGCAGCTTATTTGGATTCAAAGTGACAGGACGCTCTAAAACAGCTCATTCCAAAAGGTGCACAATAAAATCTCATTAACTAAGAATGATTTTGTAATAAACATGTTTTATATACCCCATAGGTCTATACTAACACGTTCAGCGAAGCGTAATAGGTCACCTTTAAATCCCAACATGAGTACTCCCGACTCTCAGTAAGCCAGGTTATTGAGACAGATGCAAAGCACAGAGAGAGAGAAGAGAGGAAAGTAGCTTCAAACAACAGCGCGACGAGCTGCTGAGGGTCTCCGAGCAAGCAGGGGGAAAATGCGTCACTCAAGTTGTTGAGTCTGATGAATTTTAACTGCTGCATTCAAGCATGACAGATCAGACTGCGAGGGAAGGAGATGTTACAAATCCTGCAAAGGGAAGAAAAATCTTGACAGTAAGTTGAAGGAATATTTCTGTCATGAAGATGTGTTCGGTATTCAGTGAACAAGCAGCAGAAACATGCATCAAAAAGCAAAGAAAGAGAGCTATCTCCGTGACAGCTGTGACTGCAGGGTCGCTGCACAATGTAGTATAAAACAACACGTGCAAATGAAGGGCGGGGCCAGTTTCCTTATAACATGTAATCTGACATCAATATATACTACGAAAACATGCAATCAGTTGATATAGTATTAGGTTAAACATTATTCCCAAATGTGTTTTATTCAGCCGAGTCAGTAAGAAACAATTATAATGATAAACTGATTATTTGTATTAAAATACACAAAGAGAATAATATATATTATAATAATAGACCTTTGACTTTATCAGCCCACATAAACTAAGTCACAATCATTTGTTTTGGTAATTACAGCAACAAAAATGCTAATAAAAATGGGTTTGTTGTGATAAAAAGCAGCTTCTCATTTGCAAGGATCTGAAAACAATTCTTAGCCAATATCACATTTTCATTTTTAAATAGCTTCATGTATTCACCCTGTTCTGAACTTATATTAATATTTTAGCCGATTAAGCTACAAGTTGACATTAGATTTACGTTTTAACATCAGACCTTGCTCTAGCCAGACGTAAAAGACAATGTTCCTCAGATTTTAGCTTCTTTTGTTCTGTGTCCAACTCAGAACAGAAATGTGGTTGTTTATTAGACTTTTGATCAGATTTGTTTGAAATATTTGACTGTTTCGTGTGCTTACAGGTTTAATAGCAGAACAGTTAGATCTTCCATCGCCTGTTGAACCAGATTTGTGTTTTGGCCTAGAGGCAGACACCCTGTGTACTAACATTAGACCTCAACTTTCCTTCCAGATAAAGCTCTGCGTTTGAAAGACTTGGCGTGAATCTCTGAGTTCTTTCTGCCGGACGCAGATCAGAGAGATTCAGTGGATTTATGCTGCTACTGTGAGAAACTCAAGCTGAACCATATGGGTCGAGTGAGTGAGGAGCCAGCTATTGTTCTGGACTCAATCACTGCTGTTCCTGGGTTTGTTCTTCAAACAATTAGAGTCCTTCATGTTAAGGTTTGATGACTGGAGATACAGCTACATGGTTACAACCAGACGTTTGTGTCCAAAAGACAGCATCCTGCTACAACTACAACAAGGTGGCCCTAAAAATATTTGTTTCTTACGAACAAACTTCACACTCAGCTAGTCTTCAATAATCCTTTTCTTTTTTTCTCCTGGTGATTGAAGTTTACATCCAGAGCTGTTAGCAAAAATGCTAGCATTTTTCCGCTGCTTTGATACGAATTGTTGACAGCATATTTTCATACATTTCCAGGTAAACAATGGCTGTAAAAACACAGAGCCATTTTCCTGGTTCATACACATAAATAAAATCAAACTGTAGTTTGATTTAGATATGAAGACAAAACTAACTAAGAAGTAACTTTTCAAGATAAATAAGCTTATTTTATCCATTAATTCTTGAATATTGATCAAAAGTTCTGGTTCCATTGGTTCCAGATGTTTTAACTTGAACATTGTTCCTGTGTTATAATTTTTAAAAGGCCGACAACAGAACAACTCAAAAATTACTGACTCCACAAACTCCTTTAACTTGCTGAAGTTACTCGTCTTTTTAAAAGTGTACTAAGATATTTTGCAGTAGAAACTAAGGCTGGCCAATAAATCAATAACAAAATATATCCGAAAAAACAAATTTGTTCACTGACATTGATCCAAAACCGCACAGCATTCTGGGAAATGTAGGCAGAGGAAAAGTTTTAACTGCTCAACTTCTCACAGCCAGAAAAGAAAAGTAGGTGACGTCAACTAACTCACTCACTCTTTGGTTACCTAGCAACTCACTCACTCTTTGGTTACCTAGCAACTCACTCACTCTTTGGTTACCTAGCAACAATCTGTTGAGTAACTTGCGCAGCAGCAGTTTAAGGTTTCTCCACCGTGCCTCGTAACTGTTTAAAAATAAAAAAGAACACCGTGGAGAGAAAACTGTGGATGAAACAGGGTCGGTCATATGGCTAGTTTGTCAGTATTTCAGATATTTAAAACAAAACAAAAAAACTAATATGAAATGTTTGTATCATGACACGTTTTTCAGCCATACTGTCCAGCCCTTCTAGAAACTAGACAAAAATACTCGGGAAAATTGTGTTTTTGCAGTGTAAAGACATTATAAAACAGGATAAAACTCATTCATAAAATTACACAGAACATTTAGAAGAAACATGTTGTAGTTACTCCTTTTTCAATTAGTCAGAAACGATCTGTGAAAACATTAATTTGAAAAAATGTCTACTAATTTAAGAAGTCTGTACACACCAAGTATGTATCATTTATCAGTGTTTTATGACGGTAATCATTTTTTTAACTGCTGCCGAGTTTGTTTAGGTAACAGCCCCTTCGGGTCCTGAAGATGTCCGTCCCTCTCTCTGTTCTGACTCTTTGTTTTCACACACGGCTTCAAGGTGAGGTGGCTGGAAGGCAAATAATGATGTGTGGGAGTGAGTGTGTGTCCAGGGCAGCTCCGGCCGCTTGTTTCTTCGAATAACGGTGGCCGTGTCCAGCTTCTGATTAATTAAACATCCCCTGGGGGGTCACGGAGTCGTGGAAGGCGATGTAATTTATCATCTGGCTCATGCGTAATGGAGTGTGGCCCACTGCAGAGTCTCTCATTAAAAGTGATAAACTCAGTTGTTGCATCCAAGGCCTCTTCACAATGCAGCGTGGCTGGATGGGAACAGGTCAGGAATGAGCTTTCTCTGAGAACAGATCTAATTATTATCAGCCGCTTCACACCTTGAAATAAACGGAACAAAACCGACTCGATCATTTGAACTCAAAATAGTTTAGGGAAACTTTTACAATCAGTCACAGATGTCAGGAAAGTTCATAAAAGCTATTTAATCAACACTATGTTACATTTGTTTTAGACATTTTAAGTGTTTGGAATGAATTTAAACTAGATTATTTTGGTGTAATACTATTACCTGGGTGGGTATAAGTACATTTACTTGAGCAACTTCTTAGAAGTACTTTTACTACATCATATTTCTCACTTTATTATTATTATAAGCTACTCTTATTTGGGTAACATTTCTAACTACGGCTGCAGCTAACAATTGGCACATTTTGCAGATTGTTAATTTCACCACTTAATCTTATTTTATTGAATATTAGGCATACATGGACATAAAAATAGACAAATAAGTCAATTTTATTGCTTAAAATCCAATAATGGCATTTTTTTAGTGAACGTTTGTAAAGGATGAATCTACAGCTAAAATAAATACTTTTGATATCAACTTGTGAAACACGCAAAAGGTTTTCACTGTTTTTCACATGCAGATGGAAAATCTGCCCTTTAGCACATTAGCTCTTTTCTAGAAAGCCAAAAACTTCCTCAAGCTTGAGGAAAAACCTGTTTTTGCTCAATTATTTAGAATTTTGCCGTTCCCATCATCCTTTTCTAATGCGTCGCTTCAAAATGTGAGTAGGCCTGCCACAATAACAAATGTTGCTGGACGACAAATTGTCCCAGAAGTTAATGTGATAAATTATAATATTGTTATTTTGAGACCATTTTCAAGCAAAATAATGGCAATAATGGCCTAATAATGCAAGAACACATTCTCAAGATCAATAAACTTTAAATTCTATTAAACATTTAATACTGGAACTGGAAAATATTTTAAATATCCAAAACAAATAAAACAAATGAAATGAAATATGAAACAAAATTTCCTTCCAAAACAGAAGAAAAAGATAGTTGAGACCAATAAACCAGACTTAAAACTTTTATCATCCAGTTTTTGGTAGAAAGACAGAAAAGAGAAAAACAATAAATAATGCAAATGGAAATAACTGAGCTTGTTTTAATTTACTATGTGATTAATTGGTTAAACAAACTTCCAGAAGGGGTAAAACCCCAAGTTTATACTTAAAACCCACCTGAAACATAATCAATGAAATATTAATCAATGTGTAACGACGGCAAAACGCAATGCTTCAATTGTCGTGTTTTTATCATGTAAAGCACTTTGAACTGCCTTGCTGCTGAAATGTGCTAGAAAAATAAAATCTGACCGATGCAAAAAGAAAAACGTTGATGGAAACACGGTTACAGTCCCTGAGCCTTTTTAAGTGGAATGAGGAGATTCTCTGGACAAAAACACAATAATTACTTAAACTAGACACCTAAAAATAACTTGAATTAGGTAAAGCAGACAGATAAAGAGAGGCGCAAACATTATCAGAGCTTTACAAGGTTTCTGACATCAAATGAAGCTGCATCACAATTTCTGTTCTCATCTCATAAACCAGCGCTGAAGACAAATACGTAGAAATGGAAAACCGAAGCAGTTTTAGTGTTGCTCCATTTTCTCAGCGTAAAGGGAGGAAAATGTAAACAAGACGAGTCTAGTTGGGAATACGGCCGAATCAAAATATAGCACTTGTGAGCGCAGGGAGAAGGGAAGCGAACAGATGTAAAAACCCGACACCGGCTAACTTTGAACAGAATGCAAATATGACTTAATCAAGTCATGAATATGCAAATCGGCATAATCGAGCAGCATTCAATAAGTTTCCAAGCAGGTTCCAGCATCTTTTTCTCTAAAAGCTGTTGGCAGCAGTGATTCTGCCGCAGGACTCAACAGAACCTCATCTGATCCTTTATTTCCAGGAGAAAAGGATTTACTAATATTACATTTTAACATCATACCAAGAGATTTTAAGGAACATTTTGATTAGTTTTCCCACTTATTTTAATGTATAAATCAACACGTTCTGGTCCACAAACACCAAGTTTTTAAGTTACCCAACTATATATAATTGTTTGGCAGCAGTGAATACTTTGTACAACTCATTTTGATGGTAGGAAGATTAAGATGAGCCTCTCAAATTCTCTTTTCCTGACTGAATAAATGTACTTGGAAGGATTTTGAGCGTTCTGAATGAAGATAACTGAACTTTTCTTACCCTGCAAATGTTTCACCTCATAAAAAACATTTTGTTCTGAAACTGAGGCTGGAGGTTCTGCAGGTCTTAATCAGGAACAATGAACTGGCATGTGTTTACATTTGCATTTCTATCATATATTTTATTCATATTGTCTATATTATATTTTGAGTCGCAATATTTATTGTATAACATTTGCATATACTTATATTTGCAAGTTCTTTTTAGATTGCTAGGAAAAGTGTTGTTAATGTTTTAAGGTTTATTTGGTACAAGTTAAAATAAATGTTGAACATAAGCGATGGCCCTGCTGTCTCTTTTCCCTGTTAGTGTGTTGACAGTAGCTGCGTTTCCACTGCAAATGTGCTCAAAACTTTTTTTTAATATTCTGCTAATGTCTTAAAAATACTTTTTTTTCATTAAATGAGAAATTTAATTAAAATTACATGTAAATAAGACACTTTACGCAATATGTCATTAAAAATTAGGATGTAAACGCTTACCTGAGATATATTCATAATTCAGTCATGGCACAAACGCTCATCATTTATCAGCCTTTTGAGGAAATTGTTGTCGGCCATTTTACAAAAGAGTTTTGGATTCAACACGTTAAAATTACACAAAACTTTTTATGAATTGTAATTTGCGCAATTTTGTGGTTAAAGAAAATGCAGCAAATGCTAACTCAGTATCTGAAAGCGTGGCCAACATGGACTGAACAGCTTCATTCTCTTCGTCCGCTGTCATTGGATTGCAGAAAGTAAACATCATTATTCACAACCCCTCCTTCTGTTCGCTGATTGGCCAGTTTGAAATTCTACCATAGGAATCCAAGTAAATGGGAGAAATGCCAGACTCGGCTCTTAAGAGATTATAATTGAGCAGAAACGCATAGAAACACTGCAAAAAACAAAGTCTTACCAAGTAATTATCTAGTTTCTAGTGTTAATATCTAGTACACTTGAATTAAAACAAAGCCATCTTAAAAATAACTTCTAAGCAAGACATAGGAGCTAGTTTTAAGTCCTAAATGTTGATGAAAAAGTTCTAGTTACATTGGCAGATTATTTCACTTATAACAAGACATTTTTGCCACGTTACAAGTGAAATAATCTGCCAACGGAGAAGCAAGTTTTCATCAGTATTAAGTAATTATTGACTTAAAACAAGCTCATACATCTTGCTTAGAAGTTACTTGCAAGTTAGTTTTCTCTTATTTAAAGCATATTAAGATATCTGCACTAGAAACTGGACTAAAAATACTGAGTAAGATTTTATGTCTTTGCACTCTCTGTGTGAGAAAGTTGAAACCAGAGGCCAAAGGAGGAAATGCAATCATTTGAATTAGTTGTGGGGAAACATCCCATGATCAGGGTTGAGTAAGTCCGAGACTTTCTCCTCTGCTCAAGGTTGGTTTTTAATCTCTTTCATAGACGACACATTTTCACCATGAAGGTTCTCTTGGCTCTAAAAAGTATCATCACTGACAAATCCAGCCGTTAGCCGTTTCAGTTTCATTCCAGACATGTCAGACCCACTTGATTAAATCCATTATTCTGTCAGTGCCTTGTTTTTAGGCACCATCAGTTAATTGGCTATCTCAGAGGCTTGTGTTCTTGTTAGGCAGATGTTAATAACAGCAATTAGTCATCTTCCTCTGAGACAGATTCAGGCTACGGGCCTCAGGAAGCAGTGCTGCTCAACCGACTCTGAAAATCCTTTACTGGAGTACATTTGCTCACTCTGCTCCGACGCTGGTCACATTTTAACCGTTCTCTGCTCATAGTGTAATGAAAATGTAAGCCGATACTTCAGAGGAGACAAAGGGATGAACTGGGACCAGCATGATGTAACCATTACGAGAAAAGAGACTCTGGAATCACTTTCATCTTCATGTAATGATGTTAGAAAACCTCAGTTTTTCTATGCTTATCAGTCGCTGTCTGCCATATAAAACGATGAATTATTGAAATTATCTACTTCGTTGAGATGTTCTGCTTTAAACCATGAAGAGACGGTTGGATTGTTTAAAGGGAAACTTATGAAAAATTCACATTTGAATGTTTTTATGCTTCCATTTGGGTTTCTACTGCTTCTAAAATAATCTCAAGTGTTTAAAAAAAACATCCAGCAGTTTTTTTGGAAATAAGTTAATGTTTATTGATGTCTGGAAAATTAGCCATTTCAAAAACTCCCCATTATTAAGTAACATTCCCTGGCCTTTATAGCTCGTTTTACCGCTGTACAATGGCTGCTGGAAAAGACAAGTGTTGACTTGCCATCCAGAAACCACTTGCTGCATTCTTGTTGGTTGTGCAGGAAGCCCCACTTCTGCTTTTCACAGATGTACGGTTGTGTAATTGTGCATCTGTTTCCAGCCATTTTCACATGCAAGAGTAATTGAGTTGGAGGGCATGACCAGCAGCAGCAGTGCCAATACACCCTAAAATACAGAACACCAAAATGCTCAAAATTAAATAAAATAAATCATGAAATAAGTATCTACATGACTAAATTTTGAAATAGCTGAATGAATCCACTTCTTGCATGTTTTCTACTTCAATTTGGGTTTCTACTGTTTATAAAGACAGTCCAAGTACTTAAAAAAATGTAAAAACTAAAACACGCAGCCATTTTTTTGGTGTCTGGAAAACGAATCGTTTCAAAAAACTCCAGATTATTAAGTTCTAACCAAGAGGCACAGCGCCGTTACCTAGCAACCCAAATGGAACCCAGCGTCGTTACCTAGCAACCCAAACGGAACCCAGCATCTTGTATAAGCTAGTTTAACTACTAAATCAGTTGTATTGTGTTTTGTTCTGACTCAGGGTCTAAGCAGA